GCCCCCGAATGCCTGACTGAACACCTCCAATAAGACCACTCAATCGATGGATAGAAGTGTTAGACTCAACCTCGGTCTTCTCGCTCATCCCAATGTGCTCAAAGGACTTCAAACTGTAGGTCAAAGCACTTCTCAAGAAACAATGCACGACATAACTAATCAAATACCACAGCATCAAACAATGACACAGTCTAGGCCCAAAGAAGTCGTCAGCTCTCTATCAACCACCGTGCTTCCAAGCAAATAATACAAATTGCTCTTTCTGACGTCCTTCATCACAATCATGGACCCCAATGTGACCTTTAAACGTGCATCCGCCAAGGTCACTCTATAGCCGGTTACCTCTAAAGCTCCAAGTGAAATGATGTTCTTCTTCAACTGAGGAACGAACCTCACTTCATCCAACTCCTGAATCACCCCGTCACTCATTCGAATACGAACGATACCAATACCACCAATAGGGCATTCGTGATCATTATCCATGAGCACGACGTTCCCTCTTTCCAACTCCTGAAAGCTGGAGAACCAATTCCTATTAGGGCAAATGTGGTCAGAGGCACCCGAATCCAACATCCACCCAGTGGAGTCGGCAATACAAACTGACGGGAGTGCAGATAATGAGTAGCCCGAAGAATCCGAATCTGAATTGTCGCCCCTAGCCTTGGTAACATTCACCTCTAAAGCTTGAATAGCTTTCCCCTTATTCTTCCCGGCTCGATCATTCAACTTTGGGCATTCAGCTTTCCAAATCTTCTTTACAAAAGGCACACTGGTTCCTACGAACTCCAGAATGTGCTCCTCTAGACTGTGACATCCTACCTCGGTTTGGACTCTTTGTTCTTGCGACCAATGCCCCCGCTACCGGCTCGACTGAAGCCTCTTTATCATTCTTTCAAAGCTGATAATTCACAAGTGCAGCGGTGACCTCACTATACGAAAGAGATGCATTCCCATGAATAAGAGTAAGGACGAAGGTCTCATATTTTCCTCGTCAGGTAAGGAACTCAACAACAATAACACATTGTCATCATCTTCAATCATCACATCTACATTCGTCAAATCCACAAGAAGCTTCGTGTAGTGGTTCATGTAATCACTAATGGAGGTCCCCTTCTTCAATTAGAAGCGATAAAACCCCCTCTTCAAATGCAAGCGATTTTTAACGCTCTTCGTCAAATACTTGCTCTCTAGGATCTCCCAAATCTTCTTAGCTGATGTCTCATTCATCACATCATATTTTAGATCTTGAGTGAGACAAGACCTAATCACACCACACGCCGTTCTATTCATTTTCTTCAAAACCTTCTCATCAATGTCGGCCGGTTTCCCGTCCAATTCCAAACGTATCTTCTAAATTTTACGCATTTAGCGTATCCAAGATTTCGTATCGCCAAAGTCTAAAATTATTTGTGCCATCGAACTTCTCCACATCTATCTTCATAGAATGGATACTTAAATTTTGGACGGTCTTCACACTAGAAGAACCCTTCTCACTTTTATCTTTCCCGGTCATATATCTCAAAGCACCCAATAAACAATTGCGGAACAAACAAGAAATAGATCCAACTTGAACAAAGATAGAATTTTTACCACAAAGATTCCACATTTATCACCAACCGAAGCTCTAGATGAACTTCCCAACTGATCTACTCTTCCAAAAAGCCCAAGCGTTGCCCGAAGCTCTGATACCACTTGTTGGGAAAACCCCTTACTATGCCGAGATCCAAACAACCGCCGAGAGAAGATAAACAACACACCAAAGATAGCACAAACACAAGATACACTAGATTTTACGTGGTTCAGCAACTTTGCATACGTCCACGGGAGCGGCACGATTAATTTCTTATTAATAACAATAAATTACAAATAAGAGAGGATCTCAAACTTGAGATCTCTCAAACAAATAGCAGGTGATTTTAATCTAAAATCACCGCTCAAATACTCTCTCTTAACTACCCCAAAGAAAACCCCCAATTCAATTCGCCAAACTCCTCTTCTCAATTAATGAGTACATGACAAATGGGCTAAACAAATGCAGAGAGAGAACAGAGCCCAACAATCAAACGGAGGGAGAATAAATTCTCCACCTCCCCAACTCACGCTCTCTTTCTCTCTCTGCTCCAAATCGCCGCCGCCACAAAAGGGGGTTTCACTGCCGCTCCGCCGCTCCGCTTCTGCACGAGAATAGGGTTTCCCTTTTATAGGGAAACCCTAGGGCAATCGAGCTCAACAGCTGGAGCCAGCTGTTCTCCCCTCGCAGGCGAGCCCGACTCCTCAACAGGCGAACTCCAATCTCGCCTTCACAGATCTCGCCTGTCGCCCGTAGCTACACAAATCTTGCCCGCAGGCGAGTTCCCTCGCTTCCTCGATCTCGCCAGCAGGCGAGCTCTTCGCCTCCGCGTACAGGCGAGCTCTTCGCCTCCATCTCGTCTGCAGACGAGATCGTCCACCTCGCCTCGCCTCATCTCCGCCTCGCCGTCGGAGGAGGAGGTACGTTCTTCTACAAGCAGCGGTTTTTGATTTCTACCTAAAAGCAATTAAGATTTACCACTTGCAGCAGCAGTTTTTGATTTCTTCCTTCGTGCCATGAGCAATAATTAAGGTCACTACATGCTCTACTAATTTACGTTTTTTTTAGTTGCAGCAGTCCAATTTTAGAATTTTTATTGCACTATTTTATTTTGTTGCTAATTATATTATTCTGGTTTATGTGTGACTGATTTATTCTACTCATGATTCAGATATTATTGATTTGTAGTAAGCACTGTTTAGTTTATAGCTGTAAATCAATTCAATTAAAATTAAACATCCAGCTTTGCCATGTATACCAACTATAACATCCGCCAATTGAGTATGCTGGTGATAACTCTCACCCAAATTGCCCGCTCAACCCACCCGTTGCATTGCGCACCCATACAGATGGGATTTTCTATCGGGTGCCCAAGGGCACCCGATAGCAGAGGGGAGAGAGAGGGAGAGAGATTAATGGCAATACAGGGCGGCCCATGCAATCATTGGTAGCCCCCCCCCCCCCCCCCCTCCATTAAATCTCTATCCCTTTTCTCTCCTTGCTATCGGTGCCTTGGGCACCAAAATCCGATTTACTTAAATGGGTCATAATTGTAATTGTTATTTTCCTATTTTCATGGGGTTGCTTTTGTTAAATTCGAAGGACTTGTTAGACACAATATTTGGTTTTCTTACCGAACGCGTTGTTAAATTTGACGGGTCTTGTGAAATAAAATTGTGTCTTTTGTCATAAAAGAAGTTAATATTGAACAGGATTCACTTATTATCATTCTCTGACGCAAACTGTGAGATAATTATTGAGAAGCTAGTATACAATACAAATTGCGAGATAATAATAGTTGAGAAGCTAGTCCAAAGGGGTAAATGATAGGGCTCTAAACGGTAGTTTTGCGAAGTAAATTTGCATGGGACTGAAGGAGAAAAAAAAGTTACCGGAACACAAATCAAAGCGCAATTACTGAAGTGAGATATTCAAGTTATTAAATTCGGTGGTCGCAAAAACACCAGATGCCGATGGCTAGAGACAAGAGATGGAGTAGTTGTATGGGGGCGAGATTAAAGACATCCTGCGTTAAAACGGTTTTAAGAGGCTGAAGTTTAACTGGAAGATGGAAGGTCATTTATTTTCTCTAAAAAGAAAAATTCCCCAAGGACCCAAAATATGGGACAAGTGAGGTGTCCCCCTCCTATTGGATAATGAGTTGGTCATCGGCCAACTCATTATCCAATAGGAGGGGGACACCTCACTTATCCCTCCTATTGGTCCCATATTTTGGGTCCCTGTAGCAAAGCTCCTCTAAAAATAATTCTTTCTTTAATTTTCAACATCTATTACCAAATCCACCCTTTTAGTTCACAACTCGTCATGTGCCATGTCCCGTGGCCCTATAATTCGGGTCCAAAAAGAATTACTCAATTATTCTTCAACTTCAAAGTATGTATGAGGGGTGAACGCGGGACAGAACTCAACGACTGCTGTCATTATCATTTACTCACCGACGTCTAGCTCCACAAGAGGCAGCATTACGGTGCAGTCAGGGGCGCAGGAAACTGCATCGCGTCCTGCCCAGCAATATTCGATGCCTCGTCTTCTCCTCCAAGGATGACCTTCGTACGTCCTTTCGGCCACAGCGGCACCACCAGTAGATTTTATTCAGTGGAGTCATTGGATGGCGATCTGCTACAGATATGGAGGCATGACAGTTGGGTAAAACCCGATGAGGCCTACGATGGGCCTGTGTACGAGACCCAGAATTTCACAATGTTCAAGCTCGACCGGAAACTATTTTTAGGGGATAATCGTTCGATGCTGCTCAAGACTAGGGATTTGCCTGGATTGAAAGAGAACTGTATTTATTTCACAGAGGGAGAGACGGAACAATACCTTGGCCATCGACGCATTATATGAAGGACGGGACTATTGATCCTCCATATCCTCGCGAATCGCCTATAAGTCGCTTGACTTGGCCACCTCCCGCATGGTTAACGCCACTTCCGTCCTAGGAGTGTGTTCATTCTGTTCTTCCGTGGTGTGGTTAGCAACTTAGCGGCAATCGAAATTATTATATAATTGTATACACTAGTAGAAAACAGGGCATTGGCGACGGGGAAATCCGTCACCAATGCCCCAAAATCCGTCACCAATACATATTGGTGACGGAAATGGATCTGTCGCCAATAAATCCGTCGCCAATAAAGGCTATATGTGTATTCTCGTATGGGAGGTTATCGGAAAATTATTTTTTTTTCGTAAATATATACATTGGTGACGGATTTCCCCGTCACCAATGCACATTGGCGACGGTATATCCGTCGCCAATGTTTTAAACATTGGCGACGGATATCCCGTCGCCAATGTGCATTAGCAACGGGAAAATCCGTCGCCAATGTATATATTTACGCAAAAAAATTTAATTTTCCGGTAACCTCCCATACGAGAATACACATATAGCCTGTATCGACATCAATTCAATGATAATATTTAACAATATATCATAAAATCAACCATGATATACATTCACATTCCAAATGAATACTCATCCAATTTCATCCGTCAATCCACAATATCGAACAATACTCATCATATAATCACAATCATAATACATCTCGCATGCTCAAATAATATTCATTCACTACGCAATAAAATCACAAATATATTACATATAGGTAAAATTCAAGTCATAATATGTCTTCACACAATTGAAAACTACATATAATCAAGTATCACTCATTCCTCGTCATCGTCGTTGTCAGCATCTCTGTTATCAGCGTCGTCTGCATTAGAACATCGTATCGTACTGCTGCTCTCTACGAGAGTAACTCATCTAACCTGAAAGATTATCACTCCACATAAGATATATATATACCAAAAATGTCATAATAAATACATATATGTCACGTCATATATACCTCTCCACCACCATGAACTTCATGCTCGTCAAACACCATGAACATTTTTGGTGCATCCTTGTCAATTTAATACATATCAGTGAAGATTGACAACAGGATCTACATGACTAAAACAAGGCCACCATATGCATGCCAAATTCATGCACTCTCTTTATTAAAGAATTGTTCCAAGCAATGAATTTGATAACATTATAAAAGGTGGCCGTAATGCCCTTGCAAGTCACTATTCAAGTCTGCATCACCCAATTGCAGACAACCAAAAGAATAGAATATAAATTTACTCGAGACTCCTGAGGAATTTATAAAGCTATAGTAAGAGATAAGAGAGAGATGTATGTTTTCTTTTTCCCCCCTTTCTCTGAATCCTTTGGGCATAAGGAGAATTTGAATCCCACAACTATTTCTCAATCACAATAGGCTTTTACTGCTCTAACATAGTGGCACTTCCAGTTGTTATATATTCTTCATTATGTGTTATGGTATGAGAAAAAGAAAAGGAGAACATGTTTACCTTCACCATTTAAAAGTATGAAGTCGATCACCATGAGTACTGGGTGGACCTGCAATGAAACAACTCCAATGTGTTCAGTATTTCTCACCGACGCTAAACATCTAATGACATGCCTTGTTGTTTCGAAGCAAATCCTACAGTATAAATTATCTTATGACCATGAGAGAGTACTTGAACACAAGCTTTCAGATTACAGTGTTCAAATTGAATCTACACAAGGGCAAAACTAGAACATCCAATGGCGTAGTTGAAGGACAAATAGGTACTACCCTGAGTATTTGAGCTAACAGTGGTAAAGCATATGGTCCAAAGAAAAGTTAGAATAAGCAACTAAATCATGATCTAATAGTTAATTCTAAAATTATGCATCAGCTCTCGACCAAAACAACTTCACAGTTCACAAACATCTAATGACCGCAAAATCATTGCAATTCATAATTCCATACCACAAATCCATCAAATGATTACTGAAGAAAGGAAGAAGCTCAATTCATTCATATAACTCTTCAAAGATATTGCAATTCATAATTCCAACAGATCGAATTAGTAAAAAGAAACCCCAATTCCTCACGCAAAATAAAGAATCCGTGGAATCAAGGATAGTAAGCAAACAAATTCTTCATAAGATAATTCATTTCTATTATGAAATGCCAAATAAATTAACAAAAACACTTAAAATCGAATACCTGGACCGAACCTTCCTCCAAAAAATCCGAAACTGTTCGATTTTTCCTTGCTTGAAGTATTCTCTCTGCACAAACAACAATGAAACAACAGTTTATAGATTATTACATTCTAAAAGTTTTTAGAAGTAATTGGGCATCTTCCAACCTTTCGATGTCCACAACATGTTTAGCGGCGGGCTTTGTTCTGTGAGGAAGTAATTGGGCATCTTCCAACCTTTCGATGTCCACAACATGTTTAGCGGCGGGCTTTGTTCTGTGAGCATCTCCTAATTTTTTAGTGACAATCCACTCGTTGACTCTCCTGGCCTCTAAGAGGCCTGTAATGGCAGCTTTAAGCCGATGGAACGACATCACATTCTCAAATAGGACTCAGATGATCACTAGATGTAAAGAGCTGTTGTGATAAGGAAGAAAAGTTGTTAATTAATCACCAGTAAATGATTTCAGAGATAAAAGAGTAATTGTTGCCTATAGAATCAATGATTTTTTTTCCTTGGAGTTGCTATCGCTTTGCAGAATGTAATCTTGAAATCATAATCGAGTTCAATTTAGGGTTTAGTGACTGACCGCGATGCTGAGTCGGAGATCGAGAAGGGCCTGCTTGGCTTTGAGGATGCCGAGGATGTCGGAGGCGTCCCTCCTCTTCTGAGAGGGGGCAGGTCTGCTTGGTCGTCGAGGATCTGGTGACGAGCGGGGCGTCGGTGCTTGAGACGGCGACGCTGCTGAGGAGGCTGGGGCTAGAGGTGAGCGACGCGGTGGTGGTGATCGACAGGGAGCAGGGAGGGAGGGAGAATCTGGCGGGGGAGGGGATGGAATAAGGCTGCACAGCCTGGTGACGCTGACGGAGATGGTGGAGGTTTTGGTGAGGAATGGAAAGGCGACAGAGGAGAAGGGGAGGGAGGTCAGGGAATTTGTTTTGAGTGAAAATTTTAGGGGGAATTCTCCCGCCAAATTTTTAGGCCTAAAAACATATTTTTACATATTTATTAATAAGAAGTTTATAATTAGTTTGAAATAATATATGGTCACATACCTGACTCAATGTTTTTTCCATTAGTCATGATAAAATAAGTTACTTGTGGCTTTAATGTTATTGCCAATTCGAATTAAAATGTTTTATATCTGCCATCAACTACAATCTTATGTAAAACAATCTAATGATTACATTTGCCATCAAATGCGCACTTATTTTTAATCTAAACCATATTGATATTTATCACTTACGTATAACAATCCATCATATAAATTTATGTATAACAAACAATATTGTTAATTATTATAGCATTTGTTACTTGTAGTTTGAGTCATAAAGATTTTAAAAACGTATAAAGAACGAGTAAATTAGGTTGTTTGTTACTTTTTCCACACATCTCTCTATTACGTTGTAAAAATCGAAATGATGAGTACATTTTCTCAGACAATAGCAATATATGCGTCTTAAACAATAATAGTAGATGTGTTTCATGAGCCTAGAGGTAGGGGTGGAAGTGAACCAAATAATCAATGAACAGTTTAGTTATTATTCATCTAGTTATTCGATCATTTTTGATTCACTGTCTCATTTAACAATAAATGAAAAGCAGGGGCCAAATAATCAATAATAGTAGATGTGTTTGTATGTTTTATACTCACTCATGCATATTGATAGGGGGACCAATCTTTTGCGTTATTTATTTGGACAAGGACATCGATTTTTTGCATGTGTGCATGACACAATACATATTTATCAATAAGAAGTTTATAATTAGTTTGAAACAACATATCGTCACATACCTTACTCAACATTTTTTGCTCAATGATTTATTTTAAATGGTCATTAGTATCGGGGTAGAATACCTAGGAATAACTTTTCTCAGACAATAGCAATATATGCATCTTAAACAATAATAGTAGATGTGTTTCATGGGCCTAGAGGTAGGGGTGGAAGTGAACCAAATAATCAATAAACTGTTTAGTTATTATTCATCTAGCTATTCGAATCTGCCACCAATGTTCCGTCGCCAATACTTATCGGCGACAGATTCGATCCGTCGGCAATACTTATTTGCGACGGATTCTTTTTGTCGCCAATAAGTATTGGCGACGTATTCGAATTCGTCGTCAATAAGTTTTGGTGACGGAACATTGGTGACGGATCGAATTCGTCGCCAATACTTATTGGCGACGAAACGAATCCGTCGCTAATAAGTATTGGCGACGGATCGAATCTGTCGCCGATAAGTATTGGCGACGGAACATTGGTGACGGATCAAATCCGTCGCCAATACTTATTGGCGACAGATCAAATCTGTCGCCAATAAGTAATAGCGATGAATCAAATCTGTCGCCAATAAGTATTGGCGACGGAACATTAGCGACGGATCAAATCTGTCGCCAATAAGTATTAGCGACGAATCGAATCTGTCGCCAATAAGTATTGGCGACGGAACATTGGTGACGGATCAAATCCGTCGCCAATACTTATTGGCGACGGATCAAATCTGTCACCAATAAGTATTGGCGACGGATCGAATCTGTCCGTCGCCAATACTTATTGACGACGGATCGAATCCGTCGCCAATAAGTATTGGCGACGGATTCGATCCGTCGCCAATGTTTTTCCGTCACCCAAGGTTATGGGCGACGGAAAACATTAGCGACGGATTAAAATCCGTCGCCAATACAAACATTGGCGACGGGAACAATCCCGTCGCCAATATTCCGTCGCTAATGTTTGTATTGGCAACGGATTTCAAATCCGTCGCTAATACCCCGTCACCAATACTCAGTTTTGTATTAGTGATATCATAATGTGCAAATCATTCACTTCCCCATCTTGAGAGGACAAGCAGACGAATGACCGCGTAGCATGATGAAGCTACTGCGCCTAATACAAGTGCGAAGGTGAAGATTTTGCTCGGAAGATTCAAATACTTCTCAATCCTCCTCAGTCCTTTATCGATGACTGGCGGTAGTGCAGCTGCTCCCAGCAAATCTAAATGGTCTTGCAACGTCGTTTCCGGTCCACATCAAGACAATTATCTGTTTCATTACAAATGCGTCATGAGAGTTCTAATTCCTTGATAGAACGCTGTAATGCTCTTCTAAAAATAACAATAACCATTATATCTTTTAGCAAATAGAAAAGATGCGCAATAATCAAAAGATTAGAGCAAGTTCCGCCCTGCAATGTCTACAAGCACAACCATCTAGTAGGGTCTGAGCAGGTTCGTTTCAAACACGTTCAAGGTTGAAATAAGACTAAAGCAGCTTATCATATTGATCTTTGGTCTCATGCTCACATGTTTTTTGGAGCTGAACCTCTGTAAAGAGATATTTCCCATAGAAGTAGATAACTGGCGCTTCTTTCCCAGGATGAAGTCAGATATTCTCCGGAAAAGAAATATGAAAAGTAAGATGCTAACTCCAATATTTAATCCATCTTGACAAATACCTTTAGGCTGCGTTTGGCAAGAGGATAAATGGGGAGTTAAGTGGGTTTAACCCTGCATTAACCTGCCAAACAGAAAAAAATAAGAAGGGTTAACAAACCCGCACGTGAGCCAGTTAGCATGCTTAACCCGTTGTAAGAAAGGATAACTATTTCTCGTAATTAGGCGGAACAAACCTTGTTCCGCCTTCTCACGTGAGGGTAGGCGGTGGAAAATTTTGGGCGATTTTTTCATCCTAAAACGACGACGAGTTCAAAGGCGTACATCGATCTCATCCCGATCTCGACTCCCTAAATCCTAACCCTAAGCCTAGCCTCTCTCTCCCCCAATCCGTCGCAAGCCCGATCTCGAATCATCTTCCTCATGCTTCTCCTCTGAGTCGAAGTTGATCCAGTTCAGCCTCGAGCACGCGCTTGCTGGCGATGGTGATGGATTCTCTCATGCTGGAACCTTTATTGCTCGCCTCAAGTCCTAGAGCCATGGCGGCCAGGTGGTGATCTCCATGAGCTAACCAATTTCATGAATTTTTTTCTTCGAATAATTTGAGTAATTTTGTGTTTTTACTGTAGTAGCGAGCTGAGGTTAAATCTTATGAAATCTACCTACATATTCTTTATTAATCTGTGGAATTATTGTGTCAGATAATTTAAGAACTGTCATGTTTTTGATATGTTTTTGGTCTTTGTTAGTTATGACTATTAATAGTGTAAACATTATTATTGCTGTCAATAGAGGCTTAATAAAGAGAATTTGGATATGTTTTTAAGAAAAAAGTTAAAATTGTTAGTAAAGTAGCTTTGAATTTGGATTGAGTCCAAGATGATGTGAATTGAATTATTGTGAAGACTTATTGTTTTAAGACCAAATGTTGATTTCTTTGTAGATTAGATTGCCCTTTGAATTACCCATCCTCATTTACCACATTTTATCTTAGCAATAATTGATTATTATCTCTTATGTATCAATCCGTAACATGCACAACTCCATAAGGTAGAGTCTGACAGAACACCTGACTGGAAAAATAATTATTAAGTATTAGCTTTGCTTAATTTACCTTCTAGATATTACAATAAAAATATATTGGACTAGACTAACTTCTTACCCTCACTTGTTCATTTCTTAATATCAACCAAAATTGCTGTTCAATTATGACAGGAAACATTTCCATTTTATTTATTTCTGGGGTGAAAAAAATTCTCTAGAGTGATTCATGTTACAACTTGTATATAAAATTGCTATTCAATTACTTTATAAAAGCTTACTGGTTTGATGCATTCTGCCTATTGGACTATGCATATACTTAAACTAGTGTCATCTGTGTCTCTAATTTTAAGGAGCATCACAAGCCTTTCTACATGGTCAGATTGTATTGCGTCGGAATCATTTCACGGAGCATCACAAGCCTTTCTACATGGTCAGATTGTATTGCGTCGGAATCATTTCACAACAAATTGTGTATCAGTTATCCATTACCAGGTTGCAGCAGCAGATTGTATTGCGTCGGAATCATTTCACAACAAATTGTGTATCAGTTATCCATTACCAGGTTGCAGCAGATTGAGAAATTTAAATCTTATTCTTGTGTACCAGGCAAAAAGCATGCACAACTCAAATATACTAAAAAAGACAACCCAAAAGAGTGAAGTTGCAATAAGTTAGCAGGCAAGCAAATCATTTTACCTTTATGAGTTAGTATGTATGCATTATACAGAATCAGGAAGTCTACAAAGAGGTAGACAGAAAATATGCCAAAAAATGAGCTCTGTGCATTAAGCCAAAGTAAATTATTGATAGGTAAATAAACAATTACAAATTACAGACATGAGATTTCTAATGAAATTACTACCATAGGCTTCTTTTGAGCATTTAGGCTGACTTCTCTTGCTCTTTTTTTAGAATGTTTGAGGCTGATACAAATGAATTATCTGGCAAGATAAAATGGGCTTTTCCAGGATAGAAGGCGCTCATGCATTGTTCCATGCAGGAACAAAGGCCTCGATTCATGCCTGTAGTAGTGAAGTACATTTATGCTCTACCTGATGGTTTGGATCAATTGTGGCAGAGGATATCGTGTTCATTTCGGCAGCATTTATGGGAATGTACCCTGTAGCGAACCAGACCATCTTACAACGGAAAAGGATGATCCTGTATTTCAACAAAACACTTTAGCAGAGAATCATGTGCAACTGGGGCATAACTTGAACCTAGATATAGTGTTCTCCCAAGTTGCAAGGCTGGTTTCGTGGGCGCCCAGGCCACCAAGAGGGTGTGTCAGACCTTCTTGTATTTTTTCAATTGCAATGTGGATCTCAGACGAGGAGGTAGCAATGAGAACTGGTTTTCTTTTTGGTTTAAGTGTATTTTGTATTAGTAAGAGCTCCAAAGTATATAGCTCACATGACCTTTTGTATTTACACATACATCAGTGTATTTTGTATTAGTAAGAGCTCCAAAGTATATAGCTCACATGACCTTTTGTATTTACACATACATGTATGGTGTAATGGTTTTGTAAAAGACCTTTTGTATTTACACATACATGTATGGTGTAATGGTTTTGTAAAAGTGAGGGATGTCTCACTTCTGAATCTGCTCACTCTCAAGATGAGAGGCGAAAACATGCAACTTTTTTCATTTAATGATATCTTATTTCCAAACTATCTATGTTAAGTAACTTTTGCTCCTTTTTCTCTCTTGATAATCTCTCATAATATGACTAGCAAATATTTTGCTATGTTAAGTAACTTTTGCTCCTTTTTCTCTCTTGATAATCTCTCATAATATGACTAGCAAATATTTTCTCAAAAAAATATCATTAGCAAGTCTAAGTTGATAATCTCTCATAATATGACTAGCAAATATTTTCTCAAAAAAATATCATTAGCAAGTCTAAGAACCATGAGATTAATCTTCAATAAGGGCATGGAGCTTGATGTGTTTAGTGGAAATTTATAAATCTTCAATAAGGGCGAAAGTGGTATTTTTTTAAAAAATCATGAGATTAATCTTCTTAACCCCTCTTCATTTGCCAAACACAAAGACTTAACTCATTGTCTTAATTATCGTATCCAAACGGGTTTAGAATTTTTTTAATCCTTCACGATGGATTAACTAAATTAACCCTTCTCTTTAATCCCTTCTCCTTAACCCTTTGCCAAACGGGGCCTTAAGGGTTAACTTTTTTAAAACCACCCAATACTGTGGGGTGGTCTAAAC